AAGAGGAGGAGCCAATGGCTAGCAAGTTACGACAAGCAATAGAGAGAGAGAGTGAGAGTATGGGAGAGAGCCAAAGAGCACGGATTCACTAGGGCCATCGCAAGCTTCCCGACGAACGTCGGCAAGGACAGGCCACCGCTGCCACTCTTCCCGGCGCGCCGGGCAGGGTAGGGGGCTCGGGAAGGTGGAGGGAGGGGCCCCAAACTATCGTTAGCCAAGATCGCTCCGCCAAAGAGGTGAAAGGTGTGTGCCTTCTTCCCCCCCCCCCCCCCTCGACCCTGGTTTTGACTTTCTGGCGCGCAGCGCTAGAAGGATTTTGGTCTGCGTCTAGCGTGAGGACAGAGTCATTAGTAACTAGCCGTGCTATCCTACCGGGGCTCCAGCGGCACTCTTGTATTGCCTTATTAGAGACTAAACTTCGACTCCAAGATTGCAGTGAAAGCACAGGGAGGGGCAGAAAGGCAAGCACTGCCCTGTGGCTGACGACGGTGAGATGAACGTTGAAAGCAGTCCTTCCATACTCTTCGGAATATCCGTAGCGGCGTATGTAGACTGGATGGAGAAAACGGTTGCCGGCCCCTCCTCCCTGCGTCGGGCGAGTTCCTTTTGGCTCTGCATGGAGCCGGGCTCCCACGCCGTTTTCCTGTGGATTTTGTGCCTGGCGCTGCAGGCATCGTCCCTCTTTACGCTGCGAGATGGAATGGTGATCACCGTTTGCGGGTCGAATCCATTCTCTTCGGTAACTGGGAAGGGTCTTGTTGAGAGAGACCGGTGTAGAAAGGGGGCATGAACAATAACAATAACAACAACAGCATCGTCATTTAAGTAGACCATTCCGATGCGATGCTCAAAACACCAGAGCAAAGTAAACACCTACACTTGGAGAAGGGACTACTCCGTACATCCGTGCCAGCGGCGCTTGAAAGCCTCATCTCGGAGCGCCAGTCGATCCACACCGCGTCCGCCCGACTCCCGAGATTGGACTTCCCATAACAAGAAGCCGGCTTCCTCGGGTTTTGACAAGCTTGTCAAGCCATGTCTTAGACTCGTAAGTCAACAACCCCGCTCGGGGGACAGTCCCCATTTTCTCCAACAGGATGCCAGCGAAGGAAAAGCTTGGTATTACATACGCGCGTAGTGTGAGTACGATGAATTAAGGGTCCGGAGATCCATCCATCAAAACAACGAGTGCCCATGATGGGCAGAAGATTGACTCGATGGGTAAAACGCGGAATAATATAACATAATTGCAATTAAGGGCGCCTTGATCCTTTGCAAATTATATCAATAGAGTTCTACGAACCCTGTCAGATCAAAGGGGCCGCTCTAAATGAAAGAAAAAAAAGAGGGTAAAAACATTAACATTCATTATATTACGGGAGTATGAAGAAACAAAAAGAAAGGAGGGGGCGAGAAACGACAGATCGAAATTGATCAACAAACACACCTTGCCAGAAAGCTTCTTGTCAATATTGCAGCATGACACTTGACAGACTTTGACGTTGCAGGCCGAGTCAGGACGACACGAGAAGCTTAATGTGCCGCCGACATGTTGCCCTGTCCGGCAAAAAAGAGACAAATGGCAGCAGAAAAGTAGTTCGCGCCACCAGGCCAATAAAGCTGAGTCCCCAGCCGTTGATGCTACGCCATTGTCTCCCCCTCTTGGCGCCGTTGCACCGTTGGAGCCGCGATGGGAAACTCGCCCACGTCGTAACAGGTCGTAAATGGACATTTTCCGACCTTGTCCCCGAGAAATTGTCCCCAAATTGCGTACTTTGATCTTCCCATCCCCGTGTCCCTCGATGCTACCGTCGCAGTCCAAGAGAGCAAAGCCTCTCCCCTTTCCCCCCCTTCTGTCCAGTTACATTGGCCGACTTTCTTAACTCCCCGGTTTAGAGTTGTATGTTTTGTTTCTTCCCCCTGCGGTCCCTCACTCTCTATCGCAGCGCGGATCGGCGTTGGCTGCATCAATCCTGACAGCCATCCCTTTCCCCGACCCCTACCTTGCCCTTCCCTTCCTCTTTACCCGGGGTTGGTCCGGCGCTGTCATACCAGACTTTGCTCTTCTTTGGTTCACACGGGTTCGGATAGTGTATGTGACTCTGTCTCCCTCCCTCTCTCTCTCTCTCTCTCTCTCTCTCTGTGTGTGTGTGTGTGTGGCCATCGGCGCTTCTATGGTGCAAAAGAGTTTCGATCCTCCAACTTCCCGAGCCCTCCCCGCCCAGAGACCCATCGACTCAGCCAGCGACGCTAGTCAGATCAACAAGAATCGGCCTTGATTTGTCTTGTCACTGACACTCTGTGCCCTTTTTGGATAGCGAAGCTGAACAAGTAAAAACCCACGTACTCCGTAGGGCAGCGGGCCGGCCATTTCTCAACTCGGACTTTGGAGACTCAGTTGCTCCGATTCGGTGGCGCTAAACATTTGGGAAAATAAATTCCCGAGCAGGGCCACGTACGTTTGTGAGGTAGTCCACCAACAGGTGGAAGCTCCTTAATTCGAAAAGCTACAGAGTACATCTCGTGAATTAAGACATTGCAATCCTAAAACTCTCAATGTCATCATCCTTCAACGAGCCCCGAATCAGTCGCTCGTAAACACAGAACTGGCTCGGGAAGTACTGTATGTGTATGTGCCGTATGTACATGTATGCACGCACATACCATGCCTGATATTCTTCAACGCCTTGCCGTGCGAAGCGAACACACAGACCGCAGCGTAGAAACAATGAAGTCAAGAAAAGCCCACTCCGTGACGTGCACGAGACGCCTCGAGCCTATTATACATGGCTGACAGAGCAGTGCAAGAGCCAACTCTGCCCCCCAGTCACGTGTCACATCACACACTTTCTCAATCCTCACACTTCAGCCGCATTGCGGTTGCGGGAAGGGATGGGATCAGGAACGGAAAGGCAAAAATCAGAAAAGAAAGGATGGGATGTCAGTCAGTCAGCAGAGGGCCAACGCTCGGGCTGGGGTCTCCGGTTCGTTTCATCGGTCTGAACAAAATATTGTCGGGCAAGTCTCGTGTCAAGTAGCGATGAGGCGAAGGAGCGAAAGGCAAAATAGACTCAACGGAGACAGCACACACTTGGGAGTTACCTTGCTGAAGAATAAGAGACGAAGAGAGATGATGGGTTGGCCGCATGACTTTCAGCACCACCAGCTATTTTCTATTTTGCCGTGGACGAAACAAATCTGGCCTCTTCAGCCGTTGGAGAGATTTTGGGTTCCATCGGTCAACCTTGGAGACGATCAACTGCAAAAGACCGGCCGAAACAAAAATGCAAAGCAACACTGACCTCACTTCTCTTACACCTTATACAACAGAGTGAGAGAGAGAAACTGGTAGAGAGGCATATACCACCTCACAAGAAAATCAGGCGGTGGATTTTTTTTAAGCGTAAATCTTCTGACTGTCTCATCCCAAGAGCACCACCAACGCTCTGACATCTTTCTGCAGCGTCGATCATCTGCTCTTTTTTCTTTCTTTCTTTCTTTCTTTCTTCCGGCTGGTTTCCCCTTGTCAATCATTGCCGTCTTCCGCCCTACCGCCTCCTCTTTCGCTTCGCACTTCTCCCCGAGACCCAACGTGCCCGCTCTGGAACTTGGCTCTTCTTTTCCTTTTCAATCAATGGAGACAGAGGAGGAGGTACCTAGAATTGCTAGATCCACGGAGAAAATAGGAAGCCCCCCTCCCCTTCAGGTTTTCCCCTCCCACCCTGGTGGAGTTTAACGGGTGTACCTGTGTCATCAGGAGCTGCCATCTCACAATGTTGCGATCGGCGGCTTTTCCGTCCGGTCTCAAGCCTCGCCAGTCAACGTAGTAAAAAATGGCTCACAGCAACCATGCTTTCATGTTATACGAGTGCTTGTATCGGAGTACTATTCCGAATTTGTGAGTCCGTGAGGAAACACATATCGGTAGTCAAAATATTAGTGATATGTTAGTGATGGGAGGAAGTGAACCGGATTGATCCGAGCTTCCCCTACGTGCTCGGTCCAGTCTTGTGTTGCAAGGGGACGAAGTTCGCCTCATTGCGACACAACCCCCCCTCCCCCCACAAGGCAAAAGCCCACACATGTTACGTCTTGGGACGAAAAGATGTGGCCAATACTGACGAAACCACCAAGTCACTGTGCAAAATATGGGAAACTGATGATGATGATGATCTTTAATCCTCTCCTCTGTTCGATTCTGTGCGGCTTCTCCTTTCTATATACATTACCACATAATCCGTACATTTTGATATAATCGTTCAAGAACCGGAATAATAATGGAAAGAGAAAATAAAAACCCAAAACACTGCCAAGACAGGGGATCCTCACAGGATTAAGCTTGACTCTCGACTTGCCTCCGAACAGAGAACTAGTCACACACATAATAGACGTCGTGCCACTACCACACACGATCCACCCCCACCCCCCCCGTATACAACTCAAAACGCCTGTAAATGCCAAGTTTTCTCATTGCCTGGCTGGACTTCTTGTCCGTGACCAGTTTTGCCCCAGCCATGATTCACGCCTCTTGCTCCGGTAGTAAAAGCAGACGAAAAAAGGAAATAGAAGACAAGCCAACTTTAACACATGTTGAGAAGAAACAGAATTCTTCCTCTGCCTTGAGTGACCCCATCTTCCCCGAATCCAAAGGACCACCCTGTGCTGTGGATGATATTCTCCAATCCGTGGGGAACCCTCTTTTGTAGTTGTTGAACGCCGTTGAAAAGACTGATTTGATTGTTTGGGTTTTTTGTTGATTCTTTTCGTCGTTGCTGATTATGATGTAAAAATTGGATTTCGTTTGTTGTTGCAGTCGCGGTAGAAGTGATAAAGATGTTCTACCTACCACGTGGTATCTTTCCCGTTGAAACCGGTCCGAACCCCCTTTCCCCTGTGCCGTTCCAGCTCTTTTGCGCGTTTGACGACTCCACCCCAGAATTTTGGTCGAATTGATCATGATAACAGTAAATAGAGATAACCGTTCAAATTATAATTGTCGATCAGTTGCTGCAGGTGCTGCCGCTCTCAAAGTTGTGACATCCGCGCTCGTGACGCTTCATGTTGCTGCGGACGCTGAAAGCCTTGCCGCAGCCGGCGTGTGGGCACTTGAAGGGCTTCTCGCCGGTGTGGGAGTGGCTGTGGATGCGAAGGGATGAAGGGCGGGAGAAGGCCTTGTTGCAGATCTGGCAGATGTAGCGGTCCTGGCTCTGGGGGAAGGATGCCGCGGAGGAAGGGGAGATGTAGTGGTGATGTTGCCACGGGTTGGTGCCGTTGGGGCCCATGCCGACGGGAACGGGGGCCATGGGCGGGAATTGTTGAGGGAGAGGGCGCTGGTAGTAGATGCCAGAGATCTGAGCCTGAGGAGGGGTGTGCTGCATGGGAGGGTAGTAAGAAGCCGCCATGGGGTTGTGGGCAGGCATGTAGGCAGGCGGGAACGGTTGAGCCTGGGCGTATGAGCCTTGAACGGGCACTCTTGGGATCATGGGAGCCATGTGGCGGTGGGCTTCGGCTTCCAGAGGCGGCGTGGACTCATAGTAGTAGTTGCTTTGAGGTTGGGAGACGACGGAAAGCTGGCTGACGGATCTCGTTGAGGGAGAGTTGTAGCCATCGAAGGAGGCGTCGGAGCTCATGGGAGGCGTCGGAGGAAGTCCGCCGCGGCCATAGTGAGAAGAGTTTGGTCTCGTCTCAGGCTTTTGGGAGGATGCTATGCGGGAGGTCAGTACTCTGTTGCTGTTGTCCGTTGCGCTTTCCATCCTATCCGTACCTTGCTGGGGAATCTGAGGGTGCGTCTCGGATGTGGGCGAGCCCTGGTCTGCGAGGCCGAGGAGATTTGAGATGGAGGGGAGAGAGCACTTTGATGTCTCGTCCATGGGAGGCGATGGGGGAGGTTGAGGCGGTTGGACGTATCCGTAGTGTGCGCTTTGCTGAGCAGCGTACGGGTTCGATATTAAAGCGCTCGCCATTGTTGCTGATTAGAGTTTTGAAAACTTTGAAGTGTGCTTGGTGCTTGGTTGCGTGGTGTTGTTACTCCTTTCCTTATAGTTGTCTTCGGTCTTGTCGTCGATGAGTTGATGACAGAGTTGGTTGATTGATGTGGTGATTGGTGGTGATGGTGTGGTAGGGGGTCGTTGAATATTAAGAAACACAACAGGTATTAGATGTAGAGTAGTGATTAGCCCCAAGTGCCAGCTGGATACTAGAGATTGATTTTGCTTCAGGAGTTATTCGAGATTCCAAGTCGATGAGGGGGAAGGGGAGGGTGGGTAGTTTAAGTATGAAATGGCCTGGCGAAAGAAGCTTGTTGGTGGGTGGATGGAGTAGAGGTGGCAGATGGGGGAGGCAGGTATATCAGATCTCCCGAAGCAGAGTGGAAGGGGTGATCAAGCGTAAATCCACACGATGATCCCTGGACGATGAGATGCCACAATCGCCTGTCACAAATTGTGTGTGGGTCAGAGGCAGAGAGAGTGGGATAAGTCTTGGGACCGTTACGCCAGGCCTGGGACCAGACGAGAGGCGGCGACGACGGGGGTGTGCGGTTCTGATGGTAGCTAAGCAAGGGTCAGTCCAAGGTCCTCGTCTTGGGTCATCTACGGAGTACGTACTACCCAGTCGTACTGCGAGGTTTAACGACAAGGGGAGGAAGACGGGGTCATCGGTACTAGGTAGATGAGACCGGGGGCCGTGAAGAGGGAGGAGGGGAGGAGAGGAGAGGAGAGGAGGTGGAAGAAGACAACGGGTACGTAGCAGAGACAGGAAGAGACTGAGAGAAGCACGAGCACGATGCCTGTCTCTCGTTATATCTGTAGCCTGGCTATAGCGCCTCCTGGATAATGGGATGACGGGGCAAGGGTATACATGGACGGTTTCTCTTACTTGGGGTGCATCGGGGGGGATCCTGAGCGATGCTGGTTGTGTGCCTGAATCACAACCAGAACAACAACGATCTCGAGTCTGGCGTGGGCAGAAAGAAAGAGTCGTAGTGTATCCGTATGTCTACATGGTAGGAGTAGTAGGTAATGGGTGTATCCGTGTTGCTGGCTGGCTGGCTGGCAGCAGTAGCCGGGATTGCGGGTGAGATCGAGGGCGACTGACCCCGTCTAGGATCAACGTCAATGGGATCGCTCGAGGTCAAACGGTCACTGGTTTATGCAACGGCAGGGTCTGTTGCTCAAGAGCACACCCCAGCCGTGTGTCCTGGCTCGTAGTCAGGGCCCTGCTCTGAACGCCTCTTCCTCCTTCTCCCACACGGGAATGTACTGAGAGAGTCCCCTACATGTCTTGACCACACGCCCTCTTACTCTCCTCGCTCTCTCTCCTCACAAACTCTCATGCTGCCGGCACACCCTTGACCACGCCTCCCCGGCTCCCCCCTCCCACGGCCATGGTGCGTGGGCCGCCAGACTAGCAAGGGCTAATCCGAATCCAGTGCTGTTATGCATGGCACCACTCGGGCCACCATTTCCTAATCTGGATCTTGCTCCCGTTCCGAGGACGGGGCAGTCTAGGATGCTTGACCCCTGTCCTGTCATGAAGGCTTGTGTGTTTGGGACGGAAGCCCGAGGGGTTGGTGTAGAAGGGAAGAAGATCAAGAGGCACGATGAGAGAGAGAGATGTTCGTTATGGACTGTGGTGTTCGTGGACTGGGGTTGCCTGCTCCGCACACACTGCTCCGCACACACGCACGCACTTGAGACGAGCAACGACTCTGTGCCTGACTGACGTCGGGGGGCGTGCGGCGTGTGACGCCCCAAGAGCTTCATCAGACCCTGCCAGCCCTGTGCTGCGACCGGATTGTCGAGGTGATCTTATGCCGTTCGTCGCTTCTGCCTCGAATGTGCAGATGCCAGAACGTCATCCCAAGGCTGCGAGACTTCAGAGAGGAGGGGGGAACACGGTGCTTCAACGTGCCGTGCTGGGTCCCATGTTCGGATGACTGGTGTCTTTGTTCCAGAATCGTCCTGGAGTGTTGATTTGCAAGTTGCCCATGATGCAGATTGTCAGATCCAAACTTTGCTCAATGTGCCGACGACGCGAGATGATCCTAATCTTGTCTCAACGGCTCTTCCCAGCATAATGAGTTGTTTCTCTACTACTATGATGTTCGGCCGCGCATCCCGGGGGGGGGCATACGAATATCAATACACCGGGGGCACGGAAGAACCCCTTCCCAGATCATGGGACATGAACTGCAACAATATTCCGGATGTACTGCAGGGCTGAGAGGCATGAGTGGCAAGCATTAAGGCCCGGATGCTGTTTTGATTGACGCTCATCACGGTGCTCTCAAGACAAGCTTAATGATAAAAAAGAGTTGACGGGCTGGGAAAGCGGCCTGTTCTTGGCATCTCATGCGGAGTCGTCGGGATGAAAGAGAGAAACGGCACCCAAGACGTTGCGTTGCGTTGCGTCAACTCATATGAGAGCCGTTTTGTGCAACGGCAACAGCCGGCCAACTCTGGACGACAACTTTTTGACAACTTCAGACAACTGTGCGTTGCAACCTTCAGGCAGTTGCCGCTTGGCGATGCCGACCAACTAGTACCGAGTGCCAGAGTTGCATACCGGAGTGGCATTTTGGCCATTCACAATTTAGCCACGAAAATCGATGTGTGAATGATTGACCGTCCGCGAGGCTTTCGGGTCGGGCATCAGTTCGAATTGGATGGAGCAGAAACTGTTCAAGTTGAGTTCAGCCCAGGCAAGTCGGCCCCAGTGATCCCATATGATCGCAATTCAACATCACGCAACGCACCCCTAGATAGAGTTTATCACTGCAGCCCAACTCGACTCGGGGGGCGGTTGGCTTTGTGGCACCCAGGGAAAAAGCCGCCAGCGAAGCTCTCCCGTAGTCGCCGCAAAGCTCCTGGTCTGGCGTCTGCCGCTAGGTTCGGCGCCGTCGACATCGCTTGCAGCGGCGGCCGTGCGAAAGGGTTACGCACGTCAAGTTTGAAGGTAGCTGTCAGCGACTCGTTAGCCTCCTCTATTGGGCCCTGCTTGCTGCTTGTTGCTGTTGGATCGGTGTGCTCTGACATATCTCCATCTTGTCTTTTCTCCCCCCATCTTGGTTGTGGGCTTTTTGCGAGGGGATCGGACGGCGGCGGCGTCAAAGAGACGGCACGGCATCGATAGGGGAATGGGGCATCAGGGGCGCCGGGACACTGTTTCTTGGAGGAGGAGGAGGGGGAAAGACTCCATATTGGCATGGCATGAGGGTGTGAGAAATGTGAGATGTGTGAAGGGAGTGGAAAGGAAGGGGGGGGGGGGGGGCAGGGAAACAGACAGTCGGAAACAAAGGCTAATTTCAATATGATCTTCAGTTTAGCTCGGGCTCCAGGAAAGCCCCCCTCGCTTGCGCAGGGTGGCTTGAACCTTGCAAGGACAGGGTCGCAGGTGAGGAAGAGATGAAGTCTGGTCTTTGGCGTCGGCTCTTTCTCTCCTTCTGCCCTCTCTGCTCGGATTCTCGCTCTCTGAGTTTGAACGGCCCATGGGTGTGCGCATGTGTGTTGTGTGGTCATCGTCTTGGCCTGGTGCTTGCTTTCCCAAAACATTTGATCCCCCCCGGGCCCCGGCCATGATGTCTCGCACATACCCTGTCCTCTGCAAGGTGCCTATGCCTTTCTCTGGCTCCTACTGCCCTGGTTCAAAAGGAAGGGGTCCGTGATCGACCTAGAGACGAGGGTTGGGAAAGATGGGAGGAAAAGGGTTTGGGAATGGAATGGGATGCAGACGGAACGGCAACGGAGTTACAGGGAAAGGCCCGGGGTCAAGACTCAAGGGGGGCTGGGGAATCCCTAACTTGTGAGGGCCAAGGCATGAAGAAGGCCTCGAGTTCCGAGAGCTTCTCAGGCACAATTGTGCAACAGAATGGCATCGGATGAAGCGGTGACTCGTCCGTTGTTGCTTGCCAAAGACCAAACGACAGGCTCCGTCACGTCTTGTCCCGCCGATGTCGTCCCAAGTCTTCCGCCGTGACAGCTCCGGTCGCTCTGATATTTTGCGACTGCTTTAATATGCTTATGGCAGCAGTGCCCTCCATCCTCATGTGTGTGCATGGGTACCAGTTATTGGGAGTGAGTGGTCGTTGTTGATCAGAGTTTCGGAGTGGGTGTCTGTGTCTGCGACGACACTGATAGAATTTGCATTCCCGTTTGCATTTTGCATGTCTGCAACTCTGCATTTTGCCATGTATGCTGCCCTGTGACAGAAGAGCCTCCCTGAGACTTGACGACAACTTGGCATGGCACTTGGAGAAACGACGACCACGTAATACCCTCCCCAGACCCCAAGAGGCTTGAGGCTTGCCTTGGTACGCTTGCAAGGCTCGGGGAACGGGGGACGGGGAAACGGGGAAACGGGGGAACGTTGAGACAAAGTGCAGAACTTCAGACTTCGCTTGAGAAGATGGCTGGCGACGGCGTCGTCTAGTGTCTCCGTGTCAAACTTCGCGAACGACTTTAGCGTCCTAGCACGTGAAGAAGCAGAGACACAGTGAGAGACACAAACACTTTCAGTGTGCCAGTGAAGACTTTCTCCCTCGGTCAACACTATATTAGTAGACGTAGACGGGCCGTATGTGACGAGAGGACTTGTGAGGCTTGCGTGGCTTAGAGGAGGGACCGTCCGGCCGTTGCTTGCTTTTTTCCCGCCACCGGTGTCCATGGCCCATGTTCCCAGACGAAGCCATCACCAGAAACGAAATGGAATGGCTACCGCTATGCCGCGTGCTAACACCGAACAAGTTGTCTGTTCCGTTGCGAAGCACGCTAGACTCACACCAGAACCGCCATGGAATCCTTTAGTGGTTGTGCCAACGCCTTGCTTGCGACTGGCACTTGCACATTGCTGGGCCGCTGGCCGACACAATGCAACGATGAGCCCGTCTACACTCTATCGCAGTCCGTCCGCATCTGAGGGTACTATGTCCAGTATGCTGAGTGACGACTCTACGAACGAGAGTCTG